TGGTTTTCAATATGTTGGTCAAGTGGAAAGTTCTGACAAGTTCTATCCCTTCTGCTCATTAGGACAGGTCTGGCAATAGCCCATGTATGCCAGTTACCTGACAACTAGACTAGCTAAACTGAGAGAATTTTATCATCAAGTTGGCCACAGGAACTCAAATGACTAACTAGTGAGGTGCAGAGGGATTACAGTTTGCATTTGGGGAGGAAGAATCTGCTCTGACAAAATCAGATCCTTGAAATATTTAACTAGGATGATTACTATAAGCTACCAGGTCTGAAGACAAGGTAAACTATTCAGCTTAAACGTATTGCCAAATGGTCTTATAGTCTTGAAAAAACAAAGATAGTTTTTAAAAATAATTTTATAGATGTTTATGTAATTTTAAAGGAATATTAAGAGATATCTAGATATTTGCAGATATTTATAAATCCATAAAGTGATGAAACACCTAAAAAAAGTTATTCATTTTGTAACATTTTAAAAACGATTTAATTTTTTCCTAATTTAGGCCTAAAATAGAAAACAAAATCAGTTAAAACTTACTTTTCTGAGGATATCTTAGCTATACTTAGGATTTTGTTGGTGCCACGTAATGTTTGTTTGTCAACTCTCGTCTGCTTCCCAAGAGTGCTTTACTTAAAGTATTTTGAGCAACAAGATAAAAGATGGTCTGTCATTAGCACAGGGATAAATTATGTTATAAAACTATGATTTTATAACTACCCATATTAAACAATTCTCAATTCTCACAGAAGGAGTTTAATGTTCATCAGCTTTGGCCAAATTAATTCTGTTTTTTATTCTATCTTAAATAGAATTATAAGACTAACCAAAAGTCAATCAACTAGAAGTCAAAGTATAATCCAAATAATTATGTTAATAAATAACAAGATATATTGATATTTTCATTGCTGCTATCCAAGTTCTAAACTGAAATCTATCTGATTTGGAAATAAATTTAATATGAACTGGAAAAATTTTGTTATTACTTAATCTGAGCGTATGATTCTCATATGAAAAGAATTACACAAGACATAATAATTAAAGATATACCAATTGTGTAAAATTTCTGTAAAATGATGAAATTAATTTTTAAAAAATTCTTCCCTTCTGGAATAATAAAGTAATAGAGCTTATGAATTACTGTATTTGGTCCAGTTTTATTTAGCCACTTAGACCAAACCATGGTACTTAAAAAAGAAAAAAACAAACCTCTAACAACCTGCTATTTGATATAGATTGAAAACACTTGTGAGGGTTTGTTGTTTTGTTTTTGTTTTTTTTTGGTGGGGAGTGAGACTGGCTGTTTTTTTTTCAAAGATAATTAACATCTAACTGAACAAAAGAAAAGGGAGATCCTCATTGATTGATTAGCAGGTTTCATTACTTCATGACTTTCCTTGGGAATTACAAAGCAGAGAAATATTTACCCTATCTTGAAGGTTCTCATGCATTGTTCTAATAGCTGGAATAATTTATAGAATATTCTTCTCACATAGAGTTTATGTAATTAGTTGTAGAGCAGCAACCTAGAATGACAGATAGAAGCATTGCTTTGGAGTCTGGAAGATGGGGGTTCAAAGTCTTGCCTTTAACACACACTAGCTGTATGATCTGGGCAAGTCACTTAATGTCTCAGCATCCCAGACAACTTGATAACATTATAAAAATCACAGAGCTCTATCAGTACAGTGAATTTCCACATTGATGAAAGAAATAAAATTATTGATTATGAAATATATAGTTTTTTAAAAACTAGTTTTTAATATGTAATTATTAATAGTCTTAGGAGAAATAACCATTTAACACAGAGTTCAATCTCTTACACTTTTGAAATACTCAATAAACAATCTTAGAAGCAGTAAAGGCAAAGGGGTTAACTCTCTTATTTTATAGTGATAAAACTCAGGTGTAGACAGATTAACTTATTTTGTTCAAGGTCACATACATAGCTAATTAATGGTACAGCCAGGGCTAGAACCGCATCTCCTGAATCTCCATAACACTGGATTATCATGCTGCTTCTTCACATAGTAGCTCCTGAAATAAGATGTTCTAGTTCTAGGAAGAAAGCTAACTCATTGAAGAATCCTATTAAATTACATGTGTGTTGTTATACAGTTGTTTTAGTTGTGTCTGACTCCTCATGACCCCATTTGGAGTTTTCTTGGCAAAGATTCTGGAGTGGCTTGCCATTTCCTTCTGCAGTTCATTTTACAGATGAGGAAGCTGAGGCAAACAGGGTTAAATGACTTGCCTAGGATCACAGAGCTACTAAGTGTTTGAAGTCAAATTTTAATTTGGGCTTTCTTGACTCAAGGCCTGGTGCTCTATCTACTGAGCCTCCTGGCTGCCCCAGAATGCAGAGTTAGTTTTCGACAAATGGAAATGTAGAGTGCATTTCCTCCTATCTTTCACAAGAGCTGAACTGTGTCCTCAGAACAGTAGTCAGACTGCACTTGTGCAGGTGAGCCTGTGGGACCACATGTGGAATGCTCCTGAATGCAGGCTGAGTCACCCCTGCAACAAGGGAGGCTTATAGAACTGGGCGTGCCCCTGGCCACCACACTAAGCTGACAATGCCTAATGCAACCAATATCACGTGGGAACATCATGTCCTGTGGGGAAGTTTACAACAATATGTTGGAAAGGACGGTGGTCTCTTGCTCTTGGCTCCTGTGGGAAACAAACACTTATCTTTCTTAGTAAAACCAAGTATAGGCCCATAGATAAATGATCATTTTGGAAGGAACAGTTCACAGTTATATGCCACTTTAATGTTTGCACAGTGTTTTCCTTACATTTCCATAAAATAGGTAGTACAAGCTTCCCCCCCCCCCCCCCATTTTACAGATGAGTAAACTGAGATTCGGAGAGCTTAAATCTCTTGCCAATGGTCCTATAGCTATCAGAGAATCAGAGCTTGGAGCCAAACCCTGTCTTCCAACTCTAAGTTCAGCCTTCTTTCCATTGTATTATCTTAACTCTCAGCAGACTCTGGAAACACATTTCCAATGCAGAGGCCACCAATAACAAGTAAGTCATATTTTCAGTTTCCTTGCAAGTCAATCTGGAATGAAGAACTTAGTTTTCCACAGAACAGTGTTCTATCTATTCGTGCAACTTGGGAAGCAGAACAATTGGAACAGGGTCAGTATTTTCTCAATTGTCGTCTCCCCTGGCCCCGCTGTCTCATTTGTCCCTGTTGACCACCCTCTCCTCCTACAAACTCTGTCCTCTCTGAGTCTTCTTGGTATTACTCTCTCTGGGATCTCCTACCTCATCACCCACATCATGTCCCTTAAATTGTCATATACCCCAAGGCTCTATCTTGGACTTTTTGTCTATTCTTTCTCAACATACTGTCACTTGGTGACCTCATCAGCTTCTATGGATTTAATGATCATCTCTAAGCAAATTTTCCCAAGCCTACACAGACAATCCTAGTCTCTCTCTAAGTCTAGTCATGCTTCAACAACTTGCTTTGGCTATTTTGAACTGTAAGTCCTGTGGACATCAAAAACTCAACACGTCCAAAACACAATTCACTATCTTTTACCCCAAGCCCTCCCCTCTTCCCAACTTTCCTATAATTGTTAAGGACACTAACATCCTCTCCCAGTCACCTAAGCTCACAACCGTGCTATCATCCTGGACTCCTCGCTCTCACTTGACCCACAAATACAATCTACTGCCAAATCTCATTAGCATCTCTCCCACACAATGCCTTTGTCTCCACTCATGTTACCACCCTTTTAGTACAGGCCCTGATTCCCCCTTGCCTGGACTACTGCAATAGATTCTTTAATTGGCCTCTGCCTTATCTCTCCCAACTCCAACCCATCCTCCACACAACTACTAAAGTGATTTCCTAAAGTGTAGGTTTGACCATGTCAAGTGCTGGGGTTACAAAGAAAGGTAAAAACAGTTCCTGAGCTCAAGAAGCTAAAATTTTAATGGTGGAGACAACACTTGGAGGTACTAGAAAAGGCTTTCTACAGTAGGTGTGATTTGAGATTAGTCTTAAAAGATGCCAGGGAAACAAAGAGGTAGGAGGGAGGGGGGGAGAGAGAGAGAGAGAGAATTCCAGGCACGGAAGAAATGTAACCTGAGCTATAGCTTTAACATTGAAAAACCTTAACACTAATTATAAAAAGTTAAAAGATACAATTTATTTTATTTTTTCCACATTGGTTAAAATAAGATCAGTCTGGTATTTGGAAGATAAAAAAGTCAAATGGTAGAATTTATTTTATTTTTATTATTGGTTGAAATAAGATCAGATGGAATTCTACAATAAATAAACACCAATTAATCAGGAAAAGAACCCTATAAAACATGTTGGATACAATGTTTCTAAATGAATAGATCACCATTTCCTTGGCAATTTTTCTTCAAAATCAAAATTGACAGGAAGCATGTACTTTGTTTCCACCTCCATTTTGGTGGCTGAGCAGAGATCTGTAATAATTTTAACAAATTGTTCTACAATGATAATTATTTTCAACATTGTCTCAATTTATTTTGACTAACATTTGGTGATGATTTTTATTTTGGGAAGCTATAACTAGTAAGGTATTAGTAAATATTAAGTCAATTTTATTTTAAACACCAAAGACTCCCTTACACACACATCCTGAAAGAATTAGTAAATACCAAAAGGGAATGGAGAATAAATAGTAAATGCTATTTTTGTGATAAGTTAAATAAACATAAAAATAATCATAAAATATTCAGTATTATAACATTTACAAGGCTGAAATGAATATTTTCTCTAATGTATACCTTATACTTTTTTTAAATCAACATTTACTTTTCATTTTTAATGCCCTTCAATCTAAGTAACAATTGTACTACCTGAAGTAAAGGCTAAAGTGCTAATCCATGCATTTCCGGTCTTTCAAATTTAATTGAGTGAGAAATGATTGCATTATCTTGCTTTAATTGCTTAAGAGGCATGTAATAGATCAGCTGCACAACCAAAGACATCTCCTTACCGTGACATTGCTTCAGCTGGTTCAATAACCACTTCTGAAAAACAAGTTAAATAGCCTCAGTATCTTAAATGTTGGTTCCCTTGAAGTAAATTCTGATTACCAAACATTTTAGCCTTTATTTTCTGAAATAAAGATACTGGAATAAAGAACTATATTACTAAAGCTACTTGGTTATATAGACAGCCATTCTGTGATATTTCTTCTTAATAATTATGATAAAGTGATAGTTATTACAAACATATTCCTGTTAAAGTAATGAATTATTTACCATTTGGATCAAGCACCTGCAATTTGCCATAGTGTATATTCTTTGGTTCCTAAAACAGAAAAAGAGAGAAACATTTTCATCATTATTTCAATTTGGGGTATTTGAAAATATTTACTCAGAACCTTTAAATAAACATTTCTAACAGATAAACTAAAATGTCTTGTTTTAATAAAGTAAAAAACATGCATATGTACACATACATGACCAGATGAACACGAAGCAACACTAAAAAATAGCCTAGAAAAGTTTCCTCTTACCTTAGTAGTGTCTGGTCTCTCTAAACAATTCCGCCTAGAAAATAAAATATTTTAAAAGAATATTCCATAATTATCTAGTCATTAGAAACTATTTAAAAGGAAAACAAAATCTCTTTATCTATAAGATAATGAGCATATTCTTTTTCATAACTTTTATTAGTATTATTAATATTTTAAAGTTTCCCAAAAAACTTCACATCCATTATCTCACATAACTCTCACCAGTCATTAGTGTAGACTGTACAAGAATTATGATGCCCATTTTACAGATCACAGCATCATTGATCTAGAGTTGGAAAGAATCCTAGCATTCAGTCACGTAGCTCAACCTATGAGGAGGAAATTAAAGCTTTGCAAGGTTTAAGCATCCTGCTTGTGGTCACGGAGCTGATGCCTTTGTAAGCACGGCTCTTCCCCCTCCCCCTATTATTTCATATTTCTTTGCATGCTGACAAGCTATTCTCCACCCTCTTCCCACGCAGTAGATTGTAAACTCTTTTAAGGCAGGGTCCAGAGAGTTTTCATCTTTGTATGCTGGCGAGTAACACAATGCCTGGCACACAGTAAAGACTTCATAGATGTTTGCTGAATTGATTTGAATTCATGGTTGATACTGATTATTTCCAATATAATTACATTAATTTTAGTCTGCTCAAGCTACATACTTTTGGGTTAAAAAGGTTGTAAAATGCCTCAAGAGACACTGATAACCTTTTCAGGGATAAGAAAAGAGCTTCAGCTGAAACCCTGCCTGGAAGAAAAGAGACAGAAGTGATAACCTCTAATCTTATCTACCCTTCCTTATGATTTTATACAATGTTGACTCTACTTAGCTTATAAACTTTTTGTTGTCCTTCAGTTGTGTCCTACTCTTCGTGACCCTTTTTGGGATTTTCTTGGCAAAGATACTGGAGTGGTTTGCCATTTCCTTCTCCAGCATATTTTACAGATGAGGAAACTGAAGCAAACAGGGTTAAGTGACGTGCCAAGGTTCACACACCTGGTAAGTGTATGAGGCTGGATCTGAACTCAGGACTTCCTGACTCCAGACCCAGAGCTGTGTGCACTGTGCCACCTAGCTGCCCTTCATAAACTTTAAGGCCCTGAGATTTTAACATCCGAAGACAAACAGCAAATCTCCTTTTTTTCCCCTATGAATTTCCTTTTCCTCTCTTTCCCACTGATTGTAACCTAAAAAAATCATGAGTTCGGCTCATATTCACAATGCTCTTGTATGTACCCCAAAGAACAAAGCAGAGAATGTGCTGCCCCTTAATAATGCTATTATAGTACAATATGTACCATTCAACTTGTATAAGTCTTTCCTAGACTTGTAGGAAAAAATTATTACTATATGAATTGGAAGTAGGACTTCTTAAAAAAATTCAATATTCTTTAACCAGGTTAGAGGTTAAGTATATACAGGAAATAATATATTGCTCTCTTCCAGCAAAAACCTATTTAAGAAAAATAATTCTTGCCTTATACAGGTTTGACAATGTGTTTTAAAAATTATAACTTATTATGAACTTAATATCAATATTTTTTAAAAAACAGAATTATGACTGAAATGAAGAATTTGTTACCTTTAAAATATATAAAACATTAACATATTTAATATATTATATTAATTATATAAAATATGTTCAACATAATTATATATACATAAAATATAATTATTTTTAATTAATCTATTAATTACTATATACTAAATATTTAAATATATTTAAATAGATACTAAATTTAACATTATAGTAACACAATGGCATATTTGGCTGTGCCCTATCTAAACTTCCTTCTTCTGTTTTGTGTATTTTTAAATGTTTAATTGAGCTTCTCTCCTTTTTTTTTTCCTTCTTCTTTTTGTATTACATTCATCACCCACTAAATTCCCCTAAACATAGTCAAGCAAAACAAGTCACATTGGCTACATCTGCAAATCTAAGTCTGTTTCCACACCTCTTCTCCATCATCCCTCCACCAAGAAGGGGAAAGCACTTTTCATCATCAATCTTCTGAGTCAACAGGATATTTCACCAATTAGAATTCTGAAATTTATCCAAGTTGTTTTCCTTCACATCACTGCAGTCACGTAAACTGTGATCTGTAGTTTATTTGCTTCACTCAGCATTGGTTCCTACAAGGCTTCCCAAGCTGTTTTGAATCCACCAGACTTTAAATTTCTTACGGCTCAACAATTTTCACTTTCATTAATATAGTGTACCACAATTTGTTCAGCCATTTGACAACTCATAGGTAACCACTTTGTTTCTAGTTTTTTTTTTTAACAACAAAAAGTGCTGCTATAAATATTTTTGTACATAAAGATTCTTTCACCTATTTGGGACATGTGCCTAATAGTGCTATTGCTGAGTTTAGTAACTTTTAGGATAAAGATCTCATTACTTTCCAGAAGAGTTGGACAAATTCACAGCTTTACCAACAGTTCATTAGTGCCTGTCCTATACGCTTTACAAAGAGTCTTCTTCTGGGGCAGCTAGGCGGTGCAGTGGCTAGAGCACTGGCCCTGGATTCAGGAGGACCTGAGTTCAAATCTGACCTCAGACACGCAACACTTACTAGCTGTGTGACCCTGGGCAAGTTACTTACCCCTGTTGCCCAGCAGCACCCCCCCCAAAAAGTCTTTTGCCATATTTGCCAATTTGAAGGTTAAAAGAACCTCAGAGTTATTTTAACTTCCATTTCTCTACTTAATAATTTTTGTATGTAGCGTTGATAGCCTGCATTTTAAAATTTGAGAATTACCTGTTTATATCCTTTGATCAGTTATCTCCTGGCAAATGGTTCCTATTATTTTAAATTTGTCTAATTCCCAATATCATTTGGATATTAAGACTTTTATCAGAGAAGTTTACTATGAACATTTTCCCCAATTAACAAGTTTCCCCCTCGCATTTTATTGCATTAATTTTGTTTGTGCAAAAGTTTTTCAGTTTTTATGTAACCAAAATTGCCCATTTTGTCTTTTATTAGGCAGAAAGGAAACAAACATTAAGCACAATGTGAAAGGCACAGTGCTAAGCACTGGGATACACATACAAACAGTCCCTGCCCTCAAGGAGTTTACATTCTAATAAAGGAAAGGAGCTGAGGGGGATGAGGGGAGAACTGGAGAAGAAGGTACCTGGTAAGGAAGCATAATTATGAACTCCGGAAGATGAGGAACAGGGCTTAGAGGGGAATGAAGGCAGGCCAGCCTGGGCCTCTTCACAAAATGAAGTCTGACCTTATGGAGGGATGTTCCAAGGTAAGTAGGCTGCAGGGGTGATAGGATGTTCTAAGATGAGTAGGGCCCAGCACTGGGGGAAGTTCAAGGATGAGACTGTAGAAGAGGGATGATTCTGAAATCCAGAAAGTAAGGGACATGGTCAGAATCTCTATTCCATGTTTAGTTAAAAATTTTGCTCCTTATAGTTGTGAAATATATCTTCTTCCCTTATTCTTCAATTTTTAATGATGTGACCTTCTTCTATATATATGGGTCATGTATCCATCTGGAGCTCATTGTGATATATAATGTGAATGTTGATCTAAACTTAATTTCTGCTAGGCTGCTTTCAAGTTTTCCCAGCAGTTTTTGTCAAGTAATAAGTAGTCTTTATCCTAGTAGCTGTTATTGTTAGATTTACTTAACACTATGCTACTATTGTTGAGGTGTAGAGTTGGGACAGCTGGTTCAGGTGTGAAAGAATTCAGTTAGACCTTCTCTGTAGCCACTGGTGATGAGTTCAAGGCGGACCCCAAGAATGTTGGGGTGCTACCTGAAACAATGAGGAATAGACATGCGGGTCCTAGTGTGCCCTGAAAGAATTCACTTGGACAGTCTCCAAGTTAAAGAAAGGCATTTATTGGGGGGAGGCAACCAAGTGGGCCTGCTCCCTGTGAAGCAGAGCCCAGTGGGCTCTATACCACGTGGGAGGCAGAGTACAGGCCACAGAGCGGCCCCTGCTTCCCACAGGAGGCAAAGGTGGACAGCCAGGTCAAAGGGATGATTTAAATACAATTTTATGGAATAGGGGGAAGGGGACAAGAGAATGGGAGGAGCAAGCATGGCTCCAAAATGCCTGGGATATCGGGTAGTCCGGAGGTGATAAGCAAAGAGAACAGGAAAGGGGAGTGGAAGAATTGTTCTGGAATTGAGGGTGCTTTGTGAAAGTACACGGATAAGTCCATGGTAGGGGCTTCAAGGCATAGTCTTCTTTGATCACTTTTCTGGCTGTTCACATCTTGCATCTTACCTTCTATCTCATGTCCTGCTTGCTCCATCTGCCTCAAGCACTCTTTTCTACCTCATAACTATGTTCAATTGTTTCTGGGCTTTGTATACCTAATCTGTTCAACTGATCAATTTTTCTATTTTTCTTTCTTTCTTTTTTTAGGCAGTTGGGGTTAAGTGACTTGCCCAGGGTCACACAACTATTAAGTGTCAAGTGTTTGATCTGAGGCCGGATTTGAACTCAGGTCCTCCTGACTTCAGGGCCGGTGCTCTATCTACTGTGCCATCTAGCTGCCCCAAGGGGTTTACATTCTAACAGGGAAGACAACCATAAATGCTTGTAACATCTTTTTCTTATATGGCAAAGAGCTCATATGTTTTTTTTTCTTTTTTTTCTTTCTTTTCTTTTTTTGGTGAGGTAATCAAGGTTAAGTGACTTGCCCAGGGACACGTAGCCAGTAAGTGTCAAGTGTCTGAGGCTGCATTTGAACTCTGATCCTCCTGACTCCAGGGTCAAAGCTCTATCCACTGCGCCACCTCGCTGCCCTCATGTGTTTTTTTTTTTAAACCATGACCTATACCTACATGTCACCTTAAACATTTTTCCCTACAAATCTAGGACTTTTTGGGATGTAAAATTCAGAACCTACGCCGCATGTCACCTATAGGTAATTTTGTTATTTCATTTTAAATTCTCCCCACAAATTTCCCTAAACAATCTCTCGCTTCCATCCTTCCTAGTCTCCATGTTAGCGTTATACGGACGACTTCTAAGTCTGTCTCTCTAGCCTCAGCTTCTCTGCCTCCAGATCTACATTTCCACCTGCCTCCTGTGCTTCACCTGGATGTCCTGCAGCACTTCAAATTTAACATACTTAAAACTGGATTCATGGTCATCAAACCCTTGCAAATTTGCTCTGTCTTTTTTTCCCCCATATCTATTAATGTCACTACCATCCTCCAGTGAGGAAGCTATGGAGTCAATTTTGACTCTTTTCTCTCCATTTTTCCTGAAACTAAATTCGTTCCCCTGTACCATGAATGCTACTTCCATACTCTCATTGCTGTTTTTCAATCATTTCAGTCAGGTCCAACTCTCTGTAACTCCATTTGGGGCTTTCTTGGCAGATACTAGAGTTGTTTGCCATTTACTTCTCCAGCACATTTTACAGATGAGGAACTGAGGCACACAGGGCTAAGTGACTTGCCCAGGGTCATACAGCTACTAAGTGTCTGAGGCTAGATTGGAAATCAGGAATTTGAGTCTTCCTGACTTTGGGCCTGGCACTCTAGCCACTAGACCAGGGGTGGGGAACCTGAGGCCTCAAGTACGCCCCTTTGATTGAATCCAAACTTCATAGCACAAATCCTTTTAGTTTGGATGCATTCAAAGGGCCTCACTTGAGGACCTAGAGGGCCACATATGGCCTTGAGGCCTCAGCTTCGCCACCCCTGTCCCATTTTATGCTACTTCTATACTCTCATAGTAATTGCCTACTACTGAGTTCAAGAATTCATTATCTGTGGCCTAGGCGAGGCTCCTATCTTGACCCTTGACTTCCAGTCTGTCTTCATTTCAATCCATCCTATATACTAAGGCCAGAATTATCTTATTAAAGCACAGATTTGATTTTGATACTCTCTTGCTTAAAAATCTTCAATGCCTCCCCACTGCCTGTAAGATAAGAGTCCAAAGGCCTTCACTAGCTATTTAAGGTCCTTCATAATCTGTCCTAAATCTATCACACAGGATTGACGTGAACAAAGCGCTTTGTAACTCTTAAAGTTTTATCATAGCATTACTTTTTCTATATTTTTTTCCACTTCTCCCATTCATGTATTATGTTCCAACCAAACTGGACTACTCGTTCCCCAAACATTCATGACTTTGGTTCATTGTTATTCCCTATGCTCAGAACCTCCTTTCTCCCTTGTTTCCACCTATCCAAACTGTACCCATCCTTTGAAGTCTAGCTCCAACGTCATCTACTCCAAGAAGCCTTTCCTGATCTGCCCAGCAGAAAATGACCTCTCAGAACCCCTACAATACTTTGGAACTTCTTGTAGCATATATCACATTCTGTTCTGTATAACAGTTAGATATATAAATGGAATCTCCCTTATAACAGTGTAAACCAGTGATGTCAAACTCAAATAGAAATGAGTACCATCAAACTATATATAAGGATTCCAACAGGCCACATATTGGCTGAGAAAACTATGCATTAACATTATCTATGTTCTTCCATATTTTTATTTAGTTTGTTAAATATTTCCCGATTACATTTTCATCTAGTTCAGTGACCTCAATGCTGCCAGGGTACATGTTTGATACCTCCAGTGTAAATCTACTCAGGCAGGGATCATGTCCCATTTATCTTTGTAGCCCTCATAGGAGGTGGTACATAAGAGGAGCTTGATAAGTGTTTTTGAAATAAATTAAGTTCCAGAAAAAAAATCTAGGAATTGGAACAAGTGACAATCTATTCTTTAGGTCATATGTTTTATCCCACAAATTCTCTTTGTGAAATTCAATTTGTTTTTAACAAATCTTTAGACAGATAACCACCCATAGAAATGAGCTGGATTCTAGAGAGAAAACCTGAGGGCTAAATGTGGTACCTGCTAAATCTTGTATGGTCCTGATTGTGCCTCCACAGTATATGAATGGTTTCATTCTGACTGCTTGACGTATTTTCTCTATGACCTGGGGGCTCTGGAATTTGGCTATAATATTCCTGGGAGTTTTCATTTTGGTATCTATCTCTTTCAGGTGGTGATTGGTGGAATCTGTCAATTTCTATTAACCTGCTGGATCTAGGATATTGGGGAAGTTTTTGTTTATAATTCCTTGAAATATGATGTCGAGACTTTTTTTTGATCATGGCTTTCGGGGAGTCCAATAATTCTTAAATTATCTCTCCTTAATCAATTTTTCAGGTCACTTGTTTATCTGATGAGATATTTCACATTTTCTTCTATTTTTTCATTCTTTTAACTTTATTTTATTGTTGCTTCATGTTTCATGGAGTCATTAGCTTCCACTTGCCCAGTTCTAATTTTTAAGGAATTCTTTTCTTCAGTGAGCTTTTGTACTACTTTTTCCATTTGGCCAATTCTGTTTTTTTAAGCATTTGTTTTCATTAAATAAGTTTTTATACCTCTTTTTCCATTGGGCTAATTCTGTTTTTTAAAGTGTCATTTTCTTCAAGTTTTTTATGCCTCTTTTACCGAACTATTAATTTTTTCATTTTTTTTTTTTGCATTGCTCTCATTTCATTTCCTGACTTTTCCTCTACCATTCTGATTTGATTTTGAAAATCACTTTTAGCTCTTCTAGGAATTCTTGCTGGGTTTGTGTCCAATTCACATTTTTCCCCTTTGAGGCTTTGCTTACAGCTGTTTTGACATCATTGTCTTCTTCTGAGTTTGTGTCTTCATCTTCCCTGTCATAACAGTAGCTTTTTATGGTCAGATTCTCTTTGTTTGTTTGCTCATATTCTACTTTATTTCTTGACTTTGAACTTTATGTTCAAATTGGGCTTTGTTCACCCGGGGGAAGTGGGAGGGGAGAGGGTGGGGGACTGTCCCAAGCTTCAGGCTTTTTCACACTGCTGTTTTCAGAGTTAGTTCTGAGGGTTTTGGAAGTTTTCAGTGCTTCCAAAGTGGTGTCCTCTGGGGAGAGGCGTGGTCACTGCTCTCCTGGTCTGTGCTCTGGTCTTTACCCAGGAAGAGTCCCTGATCCCTTGCAGCTGCAAGCATTATTACTTCTCAGGGCCTATTGCGAAGGGAAGTGCTCTCTCTCCTCCCTTGAACTGAACGTGGGTATAGGCAGTGGAGTTGTCAGACAGCATCTGGTTCTGGGTACAGGGCTAGCACCGTGGGCCCCTGTAATCTCTTTCAGAGCAGTTGCCAGATCCCCTTACCACCTCTCGCTTGAGAGCTCCCAAAGCTGCTGCTGCTACTGTCACTATCACCAAGGCCCACCACTTGTGTTGTATCCATGTGGGCTCTGGGCCAGCTTTTACCCCCTGTCATGGATCTCTCCTTTCAACCTCCTAAGTTGTCTTGGGCTTGAAGGATGTCTCACCCTGACCTTTCGTTGGTTCTGCCACTCCAGAATTTAATTTGAGGCCTTGTTTTAAAGTGGTTTGGAATGGAATGTTGGGAAAGCTAGGCTGAGTACTTCCTCCACTCGGCCATCTTGGCTCTATCACCGGAAGTCCACAGTATGTTCTTTAGACTCTGTATGGAAACTACACTGCATTTAGAGCAATGATCTCAAATCGAATGATCCCAAGCATAAAAGAATATCCTCTGACATTATCTGAGATAACCTGGAGATGCTACAACATCAACATATTGGCCAACTCTGTTGAACCACTGTCCCAAGCAACTTTTTCCAAGCATAAAAACACAATAATAATAATAGTAATAATAATTATAACTTAACATTTACATAGTACTTACTATGTGTCAGGCACTGTGCCAAGTGCTTTATGATTATTATCTCATTTTATCCTAACAACAACCCTGGGCGGTAAGTGCTCATATTATCCTCATAGTACAATTGTAGGCAATGAAGTAGACAGAAGTTAAGTGACTTACCCAAGGTCACACAGATAGTAAGTATGTGAAGTTGGATTTGAACTCAGGTCTTTCTGACTCTAGACTTAGTGTTGTATCCCCTGTACCACCTAGTTGCCCCTGGTGCTACCTTGCTCCTCCCATATCATCCATTGCCTTAAAACATTAATTTATCATATGGATTATTTTTTCTTACCCTGAAATTTTCAAGTCAGCTTCCAAAAATACTTCACCTGTAGAGAAATCAAATTAAAAACAAAAACATAACTAATTAAGCTAAAAGATAAAAAAACTTTGAATCTCTAATTTTTTATTAATTTAATATTGTATTTAGTTGAGAGTTCCATGTGATACTTTATATATTATATTTTGGGGTACCTATTTTAACATATATACTAAATGGACTGTTTCTGTTGTAATTCATATGAAATTATTTTACAATGATCAAAGGAAAGTAAAGAAACAACTTTATGGTTTCATGTTTTGACTTATGGCCTAAGACTTTTACTGCTTTTATACTGAAACATGGTCTGGAACACCAAATAAAAAGTTTAAACACTTATTTAAGGTGTGTGTACCTGAGATGGTGTACAAAATAACCCAACACGTATAGGAAGAAAATACTAAAGCTGAGGAGATCAGGAAGGCTGTTCAGCATGTTTTGCTACGGCCTGTCTCTGCTGCCCTCCATCCCCCTGCCGGTCCCCAGTGTGGACCAGACAGTCTCCGTGTTCTTCCACAAGTAGGTCTACGGCCAGGTGAGCAGCCATCCTCTGCTCTCACCTAGTATATATGCATAAGGATTCACAAGTGATTCACAGGATGTGAATGGAGGGCAAGCACCTTACTGCCTCACAGCTTTTCTCTCCCCTCTCACCCTACTGGTCCTGGCAGATCAAGAGGAACAGGTATAGCAGCTCAATAGTATGGGAATAAGCAACAGTTATTAAGACCAGAGCTAGGTGGCTCAGTGGATAGAGAGCCGGGCCTGGAATCAGGAAGACTTGAGTTCAAATCAGGCCTCAGACACTTATTAGCTGTGTGACCTTAGGCAAATCACTTAACTTCTGTTTGCCTTAATCCACTGGAGAAGGAAATGGCAAACCGGTCCAGCAGCTTTGCCAGAAAACTCCATGGACAGCACAATCCACGAGGTGACAGAGTCAGACACAACTCAGTAACAACAGATTAAGCCCCAAGAGACCAAACAGCTGCAGCTGAAAATGGTTCAGCAGTAGCTAAAGTCCGCATCTTGTTGTTCAGCAAAAATACTACTTGATTCAGGTACATACCCATTCAGCTGGCTAGAGTAAGCCCCACTCTCTTCATTGGCCTAGACATGGCTGCCAGATGGGACCAAGTATATACAGAAGATAACTGTGCTGGAGGCAGTACAGCTCAGAGGATGGTGAGGGACCAGGATACAAGATACATGAAGGACAGGAAGATACCAAAGGTATAAAAAAATCTTACACCTTATTAAACTGAAAAAGGTGACCAAGAGAACATCAATAACTACTAACCTATATGCCTGTTCTACTTTATGCAAAATGTTTATGAGAGTCATTTACATATGAATTACAGGCATCCTCAATGATGTTAATACTAAGGGAATAAGCAGGGTTTTACAAGGGATACTAAAAAATAGACTGCATATTTATCATGTCTCAATTAGCTGAAAGATTTAAGGAATAAATGATCCCATTGGGTTAATGCTTATAGACTACAAAAAATTATTTGATTTGGTAGAACTAAACACTATCTTATAAGCTCTTTTAAAGCAAAGTTATTCCCATCCATACATCAAGCTCATTCATGATTCTTTGGAAGATGTAATAACAAAATAACCCTGTTTAGTGACCATCTAAATAAATAGACAAATAAATGAACGAATGCATGAATGTTTAAAAAATAAAAGCAACATTTTGCCAGTGTCATTATTTGGCAGGAAGACTTGGAAAATAACTGCCTTGGAAAGATGAGTAGCACAGGAAGGCAACAGAGAGATTCATGGTGGATATGACCAGGCTGCCAACATATAACCACTGAGGAATTCTGAAGAAAAGGAAGAAGGGACAACATTGTGGGATTGTGTGGCAGGGAGAAAAGAAGTATGGTCACATGGCAAGAGTGGGGGATGGCAATATACCGAGTCCTCTACTGGTACCCTTGACATGTTGGGAGGAAGTGAAGAAGGCCTATAGCAAGGTGGCCACCCAATTTGGTGTGAGGGTAACCTACAGTGAACTTTGAGGAGATTACAGACAAGAGTGACACAGGATGAGAAAGCACGGGGGGACTGCAATCTGCACCACTGGAGGGAAATTTATAATCAATGAGCTCACAGCTCCATGTGAGTATTTGAGAAAAAGATACCTGCATATGTTGGCTGATGACCTAATAAGGAATGAACACAAAGAACATGCAGCCCAAAGTAAGAGCACCTTGCAAAATGATCAATTACCACCCTAACAAATTAACTAATTAGCTATTGCTAATCTTGCGGGCAACTCTTCTTCTGTTGACAATATAATGGAGGTGTACAACCTTTTGTTAGAATTGGACCAAAACTCTTGGTGCTTTTCTGAATGGCTCAGAGTCCTGCTGATTGGACAAACCACCTGTTAAACTACAAATTTGGGAATTCTGGGACTTAAAATTGATTATCTGGGTGATGTGACTCAAATATACATAATATACTTTATTATTGCTATAAAATGATTCAACACTTGCAGCAGAGTATGCTGAGTGATTCCCTCAAAAGAACCCGGTTAGCTGAATTGATACAGACCCTATTCTACTATTCCTTCCCCCCCGCCAGGTCCCCTGTCCATCAAGAATTTCTCCATTGTCCTTGAAATTTTCATTAATCAAGGATTGTGGTATTCTAGGATTGGTAGTCATATCACAAGAAGAACAATGATTTTTTAAAAGATGGGTTTGCAGAAACCAGTTAGATTTCTGAGTTGCTGTGTCTAAAACAACCCTCTTCATGACTTCAAAACTGTAACTGCAATAAATAATTAAAATCGTCCCAAGGAAAACTTCAAAGAAAAACTACTTGACTCAAGAAAAATGAATAAGCAAAAAGGCAGTGTCAACATAATGAATAAATATTTTTTTGGGGGGAAGAAAATGTTAAGGCAGAGAGAGGGGGTCTTGTATTTTCCCTCTTTTGGCATAAGTGACTCCATTTTGGAACTCTATTATCTCCATTTAACTCAAAAGTGAAGAGATAGGTACTCAGACCTGACATATGAGTTTTAACATTGTTACTTCTCCTCTTACTGTGAAATAATCCCTATGAGGTTTGGCAGATGCTGCCACAAGGAACCCTCAGTTTCACATGATCCATTAGACATCAAACCTTACTGCCTTCACCACCACCTCTAGCTTAACCGCCCATGGCTAAGGCCAATCCCATCATGTACTTCAATATTGCCGTCAATAACGAATTCCTGTTCCAAGTTACTTTTGAGCCATTTTCAGATCAGTTTCTAAAGACAGCAGAAACTGGAGAGAAGGAATTTGGTTACAAGGGATTCATTCCCGGGTCCATGTGCCAGCATAGTGATTTCACATACCATAACTTCACTGGAATGGAAGCAAGTCCATTTATAGAGAAATTTGCTGATGAGGACTTAATCCTGAAGTACACTGGTCCTGGCATCTTGTCCATGACAAATTCTGGGACCAACACATATTACTCCCAGTTATTCTTCTGTACTGCTAAGGCTAATTGGTTGGACAGCAAGCTTGTGGGATTTGGCCCGGTAAAAGAAGGCATGAACATGGTAGAAACCATGGAGCTCTCCAGCTCCTGGGATGACACAACTAGAAAGATCACCGCTGCTATCTGTGGACAACTCTTGGAAGTTTTTATTTTTTGTCTTAATCAGCAAACCATTCTTCTACAGGTGGGGAGACCACTCCCAACCCCCAATCTGCTCTCATACCTGTAAACTTTGTGCTTTCATTGGTTTCAATTCTCTCCGAATTTCTTTTTTCTTCCACAAGTCTGGCTGTACTTTAAGTTTATTATTATGAAATAAAAACTAAACTACACCCAAAAAATCTCTCTGACTAGGTAGGAAATGCCATAAGATCAATTTCACCATCATTTAATGTCTATCGAGCCTCTATAAAGCAAGAAGTAATATTTTACTAAGATAAAAGGAGCAAGAAATCTCCAGAATGGGGAAAAACCACTTAAAACTATTAACTGGACTCCAGAAGAAAGAACAAAAAACTACAACAACCTACAGAGTGGTTTAGAAGCTCAATAAAAGAAATAAAGGAAGATCTAACAACTATAAGGATGGTGACACAGTCTCTTGTGGAAGAACACAAGAAGATTAAACAATGACCAAAAGCTTAGAACATATAATGGGGAAAAATCTTAAGCAACAGATCCTGTGGAAACGATGACAGATGGAATTTTTAAAAATTCTAAATGAAAGAACAAATATTAGAAAAAATTTGAACAGCAAGACTGGAAGAACACATGAAATCTCATGTTAACATAACAAATAACAACAAATCAAAGTAAAGACTGACCTTAAAAACAGAACTTGGCAAGAGAGTCAAACACTATCATTGTCTTGGAAAACATGATAAACCAAAGAGATATTCTAGGAAATCATACAAAGAAAATTACCTAGAAACACTGCAAACACTTAGACCAGAGAAATACATTTAAAGTAAGGGGCTGAAATAAAAGCTATTATACTTCAGCAGAATTTTAAGACATCAGTTTTCACTATGATTTTGGATAAAGTAACAGTTGAAAAAATAGATGCCCTCAAGAAAGACAGAAGATATACACGGAAACTAATATATGCTTTAAGGCACCAAAAATAATGAAATAATATCAATAGCAAATATATATATATATATTTTATATATATATATAATATATATAAGTAAATATCACAGCAAATAAATCCATGAAAGAAAAACCAACTGAAATACAAAAAAAGCCTACATACTAAAGCAAAAGAAAATTCACCACTTAGTGGTCAGTTGTTAACATTTTACTAGAAGTCTTTCCAGCCTCCTAATACTTACTAGAACTTTTCATAACTCTGCTGGCAGAACTTTCAAGAATCCAGGTCACTTCCTTACAGGCTGAGGCACAGTAAGAATTCTATGGAGCTGCCTTATCATAATATTTAGAAATTCTATTTTCTCAAAGTAATTAAAACTAATAAAAATCTGAACTAAAACATTTTACCACAATGTTTAGCATATTTAACTGCTTAAGAGTGGAATATTAATTTTTGGTGGGAAGTTTTTCATCAGTTCCAATGCTAGTGAACTCTCAGGTATCTTGCATTCAGACTTACGTAATAATACCCTTTAAGAATAGTTAAGAACCCAAAATTAAATCCCTTTCCACAAAAACAGTATTTGGAGGCAAAGCAGTCCTTCAAAACCCAGAAACAACAAAATAAAACATAACCCAAAAATGGTGAAGACCCAAAGATTATACCCAATGGGATGTGGTCAATTTGTCATTTGCAAAGAAAAGACCTCTCTCGCTATCAAACACTAGAGATGACTAGTCTTTTGGAACAAAATCTAAAAGGGTGTGGTAGAGGGATGGTAGAAGCAGCAGGAGACAGAAAAGACAAGAAAAAAATAGAAGTGGAGAGAAGGGAGAAGAGAATACATAGAGTAAATACCAAATTCACCCCCCATAGTAAATGAATGGAATACTAGACCATTTGAGTGATGGGGGTTGGTATTGAAACAACTTACTGACCACATAACTGTGAGTCCTTAAATAATGTGAAATAAAACCACTTACTCAAATTAGAAGGCAAGATTTACCCCAAGTTTTTATTCAGCAGTTGCCCAGCTGGGGAAAACCACTTCATGAAGTTGTTTTTCCCCTTCTTAATGGATGAAGAATTATATTAGCAGATAGGAAGAAAAAGCTTAATATATTTTTTTAAGTTCAGGATATTGGCTAGGTTCAGATAGCTCCCCAATGTCTGAATTTAAGAATCCTGCCATGTAAAATGAGGAATGGCACAAATTTAAAGGTTACCTAAAAGGTTACGAGATGCAACTGGCTTTAACAGATAGACAACCTCTTCCTAGACATGGGAATATACAATTTGTGGAAAAAGGAAGAGAGAGAAAAGGTACTAAAGCAACAAAAAAGGACAATTTTAAAACAGATGTGCTTAAGCCAGGTTTATTTTTAGATTTCCAAAGGATGGATATTAGTAGGGAAAGTGGAAATGGAACAAGTTTCAGCAGAGCAACTATCTCTTTTGAAATGTCTTATTACAACTTTCTAGTGTATCTGAATTTCAACTTATAAAAAATCAGAAAGTTGTATTTAAAATGCAACTATAATAACCTTCTTTTAAATATTATTTTCTTATCTTCCAAATTAAGGTAAGGCATTTCCCATTAATCTAGATTCTATGAAAAAAATTTTATCTACCACTTTCAAGCAATGGCTGACCCCTGTTTTAGAATAAAAAACAATATGATTTTTTCTGCAACAAAATGTTAAGAGTTCTGTGTTCCTTTGCTTTTTAACCGCATGTTTTCATGTGTGTTGGTTATCTTTTTTTTTCCCTTATCTCCCTGGGACCTTCCCTGTCTGTCTGAACCTACCTCCCTAATCTGACCTTTTATGTGCCTGAGTGAGATGTAGTGAAAACACCACTGGCTTGAAAGCCAGGAGAGTTACTAGCTCCAGCTCCACCAACCAGTCACAGGGCCTTGGGCAAGTCCCTCTGGGCCCCAGTTTCCTTATCTTTAAAGTAAGAGAATTATCAGAATAGATTCCCTTTTGTGTCACAGACAAATTTGGTAGTCTGGTGAAATCTATGGACCCATTCTCATAATAATGTTTTTAAGCTAAAATATATGAAATATCAAAGTAAAATAATTATGGTGAAATAGTTATCAAAATATTTTTTAAAATAAGTTCATGGACCCCAGGTTAAGAATCCCTGCCCTAAGGTCTCTCCATTGAACAGTTTATTATTTCAAATTTGCTAACAATTTTAATAGTTAAGTCATACAATGTAATAATTCTACTGCTATTTTGAGCCTGGAAAAAATGAAAAAGTTTAATAATTTCATGAACAAGGTTCCCTCTGGAAGAATCTTCAACCATAAATCTTGAACAACACTTGACATCCTCTGGGTTACTTCCCCCAACTTACACTAGCAAGTTGAGTCCCAAGAAGGTAGTTGCTACCTTAGGTGTTCCAGGGGTACCCTGTGGGGCTGTATTCCTACCACTAAAGCTAATAAGTCCTTACCAGTATGCTTCCCATTAACAACAGACACAATCAGCTTCTAGCATTTACTAAGACGCCATAGCACAAACAGTATATACAAAACACTCCCTCTCTATCCCCCCCGCCTTGCTCCATCCCACCCTATAAACCTGGACCACACTCTTCCATAAATGCACATCCATTGAAAGAGTAGGTTCAAACGTGGAGTGCCATGAAAGGGAGGAATGAATGTATATGTAGGATACACATGTGGCAAAGGCAACTTCTACTATTATACGGCCTACAAGTTCTTTCTCTCTTTGCAGAATCCTTACACTGAATTCCCAGGGTCTGCTCTGCTTCACAGCCTGACTCCTGATTGCCAGCAATCATGCTTCTTGAATCTATTTTCCTTGTTGGGTGCCTGTCTCTCTATACCTGTAATCGATCAGGAGTGTGTGTGCTAGAGATACTGGACTAAGTTACATGGGGGCTGTGGAGTGTATCAGTAGATGGTCTTCGAGAGCTGCTACTAACAAAAAATTAATCATTCTGTAGTCAACCTAGTAACCAGTCTCCTTGAACTTTGCTAGGCTGGTCCTCAGGCAATAACATAGTCCAGTCTATAACTGAGTCTGTACTTGAAACTTTTCCATCTCAGTAGAATCAACCAGATATTGTAGTCTGCTAACAGCATATAATAAACTTCTCAAAGGCAAGATCTGTTCGTTTTTGTCCTTGTATCTCTAGCACCTATCATAGGCATTTTATAATTGCTTGCTGAATGAATGAATGAAAGAATGAATGCTGGCATAAGCCTTTGAGAACCTACAGTCACCTCCATGCTAATAAGAGAAATCAGAGTAGGGCTTCAGTTTAAGAAAATGAATGGATTGAAAATATAGCTATACAGGTGTAAAAACAATTCAATGTTTTTCATTCAAAACAAATGAAAGCTATTCAAAATACCTTCAGGGCCAATTACTTCTAGCATTCTTGGAGCCTGAAAAAAATTACAGAAAAAGCTTATTAATAAATCACCCGTTGGTTGCTAACCATAATGTTAATGTATACAATTCAATTACACAAAGTGCACTTAATGAGAACCAGTAAATGTATGTCAAAGAAACATAAAACTTTCCAAATGCTATAAAATGCCTAGCTTTACTTGCAAAAAAAAAAATCACAATGCATCCCCTAAGCAACAAGAAAATGCAAACTGACATCTCTGGTGATAAGCACTTATACAGCAAATACTTGATCACAGCAAAATGGACTATGGAAATGATATCTTTTATATGAAATCTATACTAAACATTCATCATCTTAGTATTTAAGAAGAGAAAATGCCACACATTCTTAAAAAGAGATAGAAAATTATATTAAACATTTAAGTACAGGAAAAATCTCAAAGTTCCTCAGGTAAACTTATAGGTTCTAGCCAAATCAGGCATGTGTGTTATATACAATACAATAAAATGGATACATGGATAGACATTTACACTATAAAGTAGATGAAAAACGGGTAGAACTCTTTTTTAACAATAGATATTTGATTACACAATACTTGAAATGAGGACAATGAGCTTTATAAATCAAGCTTCTGTACAGTTTCTCATTCAAAAGTAATATACAACATTATAACTGTAATTTAAATTACTAAAACAGATGGAAAAAATCAGAACAAACCGCACTGTCCTGAGTTAGCGTTTCATTGGCACTTTTAGAGCTCTCAGTGTGGAAATTCTCCTCACTGAAGCATTGTGGTAATCTATCTGTCCTTGTCCTCTTACTTTCATAGACTGGGAAGTTCAATATAATGAGCATATTTGAATCTTTTTTGGGGGGGGGAGGAGGGTGCATTTTATTATCTTACAATGCTCCTGCATTATATCAGTTATCAAACTTTGTAAATGTGGAGATTGGGACAAATGTGCACTGACCCCAAGGATCTCCTCCTAGAAGTTGTTCATTTTTCTAAATCATGGTAAGTTTGTTTTGGTGTCACTTGAATATCATGGCTCAGTAAGGATTTGGATAAGCTGAGTAATTGAAACCTTATTGCTGTGTGTGTGCGCGCGCACGCACGTGTGTGTATGTATACACATATATATGTGTGTGTATGTATATTTTAAATTAAGATGAACTACAGAGCTATCTCTTATTCTTATCTCACCCTGGGTAAGGTATTGGATGGTAAAAACTAGAAAGTTCACTCCTGTTCTAGTGCGGCAGGGCCTACAAAACCTTAACTGCTACAAAAGCTTTCTATAATATTTGACCTCTATAGTTTTATAAGTGGGGCAGCTAGGTGGCAAAGTGGATAGAGTTCTGGGAGTCAGGAGGACTTGAGTTCAAATCTGAACTCAAAACACTTAACTAGCTGTGTGACCGTGGGCCAGTCACTTAACCCTGTTTGCCTCACTTTTATCATCTGTCAAATGAGTTAGAAAAGGAAAAAAAACAAACTACTCCAGTATCTTTGCCAAGAAAATCCCAAATGGGGTCATGAAGAGTCAAACATGACTGAAAACTACTAAACAAAAAATAGTTTTATGCCCCTTTCTTATATGTATAAAGACACTGTTTTGCCTTGTAGAATTTTGTATCACCAAGTGCTATTCTTTCTCACTCTGAGGAAAGTAAATGAATCAACATTGTTTGCTAAAGATTATATCTATACATGTTTATATAAAACTATAGTAGTAAATAAATAAATGGGGTGTATGGGATGTTAAGGGAGGACTAGCACTTCTGGCATCCAACCAGTCACCCAGCTCTTACCTGTAGCATGGGCACAAGCCATACCTGGGTAAAACTGTCTCTTCAGATGGGCTAAACCAGGTTGAGAGTAACTGACAGGCCTCAAACCCATCAATGAGTTAGGAGGGTGTCTACCCCAAGCACGTGAAGACTTCCCCTGGCAGAATGGGTGATTGAGAACAATTTGTTCCAATAGCCATGAAGGCGGCTGAAGCAGGTGCTGTGGAATGCTCAGAGCTTGGTTAGACATCAAAGACATCAGGGTCATCCATTGAATCCAAGGCCACAGCCAGTCATCCTGTCTTTTGTCCTGCCATTGAACTTTGATGACTCAGGAAGACAGAGTGAGGCTGATGACTTTGTCCAACTCTGACTCACTTAAATCAAATTCTCACACAAATCATCATCCCATGATGTCACTGGTTCTTTTTGAAAATGAAGGTCAAACAATAATATTAATAAATAAGACTTTGTTGGGGTCTTTAATATACTGGAAGTTTATTCTCCCCTGTCCTATATAATCAGAGTTAGTATTTCATACACAGTATTCCAAGATAGAAAAACACCCTTGTAAACAATGTGATAAGACCTTTGATTTCTCCTTTGAAAGAACAACCCAAGGCCATTCTCTGGTACTTGCCAGGTAATTGTCATGTGTTCCACATGTATTGATTCTTGCTATTTGCTTTTACCCTAAAATTGGGTAAAAAACGGTCTCTCCTTTCAATGTTAACTTCTTAAATATGGGACTTAGATGGCTACATAGGAACTGACATCATGGATAAAGATCCTGTATATCCCCTTTCTTAGTTCACCTGAATAAATCAGGAAATGTTTTAGTTCTATACTCTCATTCCTCTCAACCAATTACTATGTTCAGAGATCCCATAGATCTGTAGGTGGAGGTACAGGTAATTACAGGTAATTAATTAATCATTATCCTAGAACCCCCTGGAACTAGAATCTATAACATGTCGGAGATGGGACTTTTCTTAAGGAAAAATGAAGGAAGACAAGCCATTTTTAGAACTGTTACAATCTGGATGTCAATTTGGAACCCTATAGCATACCTGTTTCCAACTGACTAAAGAATATCCTTTAATAAATCACCTTTGGACTGACTTCTAAGTCTTACGCATGGCTTTTATTTTCCCCTTTCAAGTAGGGGCACTTAGATTACCATACAATTACTCCTTTGGACAGAGATTTGATGACAAATGAAAGAAATGAAACAGGTAGGAGAAACTGATCAAGCCTCTTATTCATTTTTAAAGTTTTTTCAGGGAACATTCACTCCAGTTGCTACAGTGAGTAACTCTAATTTAGCCAGGCATCACCACCAACAAATCACACTAAAAAATAACTGAAGCAAACATATTGAATTCTTGATATTTTACTATTTCAATGTGAAATTAGGCCTGTAAGAATTTTGTTTTATACTACAATGGTGAGGTAAGGAACTTTCAGTATTTTTTTCAACAAAGACAATTTCTCTTCTTAGCAGTCTCCCAGCTAAGTTTTTTGGTCTAAAGCTTCATTTTTAAAGCAGTCATTGTCTATGGGATCCTCTGTGTTTTGCTTTGTGGGTTAATTTAGGAAAAGTGTTGACTTTCACTTTCACCCGGGCACAGGTATTTTAGGTTAATGCCGTGGTACAATTACACTTAATCAAGCTTTTTCTATATTGGTTCAGAGAGTGCACCAACAGACCCCTTCTTCTAAACTTGAGGTCATTTGAATAGTTTGAGAAACCAAATAAGAACATGCAGAGAATTTCACAACGTACAACCAAATTATGAATTGTGAGAGTTACTTCTGCCATAAAAATTCCAGTTGATGTCGTGAAGAACTTCACTAAAGTTATGCTTTAATCAACCAACATTTACAAATACCTACCATGTAAGGTATAGTAGTAGGTGTTGAATATACCTATCCCATAAAATCTATCCCACAGAACCTGGTCTTAAGGAGCTTACTATTTAAAAAGGGCAAAGACCTATATGCAGTGATGTAGCAGTGATAGAAAGGATAGAGTGATAAGACACAAAGGAAAGATCTAAGCAAAGTGCTATGAAAAGATCTAAGTTATCTTCACTCTTTACTGATAGGGCAACTACATAAAGCAATCTTAGGGAAGGCTTCATCAAAGAGGAAGCTGAGTAGGACCTTTAAAGAAGGAAAGAATTTCAACAGACAGAAAACAGGTAGGAATCAGGCATAGGGCCTGATGGGAGAGGGCAGGAAAATAACTGGGAGGAAGGAAAAGCCTAGTTTGGCTGGAATATAGAATGTGTAAAGGGGAAAACTATGAGATAAGGGAAGGGAAAGAGAATAAGCATTTATTAAGGGCCTACTATGTGTCAAGTACTGTGCTAAGCACTTTTTTCAAATATCTCATTTGATCTTCACAAGAACCCTGGGAGGGAGGTGTTATTATTCTCATTTTACAGTTGAGGAAACTGAAGCAAACAGAGGTTAAATAATTTGCCCAAGTAAGTGTCTAAGGCCAAATTTGAACTCAGGTCTTCCTGACTCCAAGTGCCCTTAGCTGCTATAAGGTAAGTACATAAAGTATGTAAGGAGTATAATAGGCTATAGCCAAGGTGTGGGAACCTCAAAGGACAAAGACAGGAGCTTGTGTTTTCTGTAGGTCCAAGGTGTCAAGCCGCCATTGCTCTCAGAACCAGATTCAAAATGTAATTGGGAAATATTTAACAAAATAAATAAACATGCAATAGAACATAGATAATGTTAATATGTGGTTTTCTAAGTCATTCAGCCCACAGGAATCCTCATATATGGTTTAGTGGGCCTATTTCTATTTGAGTTAAACACTACTGCTATAGGCAACATATAGCCATGGAAGATTTTTCAGTAGAAGAGTATTTTATCAGTACAAGAGATGAATTATACAGGGTAGAGAACAGATTTGCAATAATCTAAAATGGAAAATATGAGGGTCTTACTTTGGAGATCCTAAAACAGGGAGGCAAGTCTGACCTCATAGATATTATTGAGACTTAATGGAATGAAACCCACAGCTGCAATCTGGATTTGGCTGTGGTATAGTTTACTGAAAAGAACCAGTATAGGTAAAGTTGGTAGTGTGTGTGTGTCTGTGTGTGTGTGTGTAGCACTACATGTTAAGAAGCATATTCACATGAGGAAACCCAGGAACCAAAGGGGAGAAGCATGGTAGAGAGTATTTGAGTGAAGCTCCATAATGGTAGAATAGCAGGA